CTTCCATTTTTCTTCTATTAGTTCCTATGATTTACACGGCCACAAGGACTTATTGTAGGTTTGCACCACCCAGTACCAGTTTGCATTCCTTCATGTACCCACAGACCTTGTCCCAAAGAACAATGTCATGTAACTGTTACACAAATATCATGTAACCTGCCAGTCATACTGATGTGACATAGATTACAGATGTCTTATCCCAACCAATTGCGAGAGACAGTTAATCATAACATAAAGAGGATTTTTAAATTTTCTGTTAACACTAGAATTTGAACTCTGGACTTGCCACTTGGGGGTTGATAACCTAACCACTTCACTAGGTTGCTACACCCCTATATATTTAATTTATAAGATAAGTATAAAAGCATAATTAATTAATTTAATAATAAATAATTATAAATATTTACTAATTAGTTTTATTTTATTCAGATGAAAGCATAAGGAAGATAAAATGTTGGATAAATAAAAATATCAGGCAGACAAAAGTGTTGAGCAAGTAAAAGTGTTAGGCAAGTGAAAGTGTCAGGCAAACAAAAGTGTTAGACAAGCAAAAGTGTTAGACAAGCAAAAGTGTTAGACAAGCAAAAGTGTTGGGCAAGTGAAAGTGTTAAGAAAGTAAAAATATCAGAAAAGCAAAAGTGTTGGAAAAGCAAAAGTGTTGGAAAAGCAAAAGTGTTGGAAAAGCAAAAATGTTGAGAAAGTAAAAGTGTCAAATAAGCAAAAGTGTTGGAAAAGCAAAAGTGTTGGAAAAGTAAAAGTAAAAGTGTTAGGCAAGCAAAAGTGTCAGACAAATGAAAGTGTTAAGCAAATAAAATATTAGACAATGAAAATATTAGGCAAATGAAAGCATTGAAAAGATAAATTTGTCAGGCAGACAATTGTCAGAAAGATAAATTTGTTAAGCAAATAAAAATATTGGGCAAACAATAATATTGACAAACAAAAGTATCAAGAAGATAAATTTGTTAGGCAAATAAAAGTGTTAGGCAAACAAAAGTGTTAAGAAGATAAATTTGTTAGGCAAATAAAAGTATCAGGAAAATAAAAATGTCAGTCAAACAAAAGTGTTGAACAAATAAAAATATCAGAAAGATACATTTGTTAAGCAAACAAAAGTATCAGACAAACAAAAGTGTTGGACAAACAAAAGTATTAGAAAGATAAATTTATCAGACAAATGAAAGTGTCAGGCAAATAAAAATGTTAGGCAGTTGATTGTTAGAAAGGTGACTGTCAAGAAGATAAATTTGTCAGGCAAATGAAAGTGTTAGACAAATAAAGTATTAGGCAAACAAAAGTGTTTAGCAGATGATTGTTAGAAAAATAGTTGTCGAGAAAGTTATTGTCAGGCAAATAAGTGTTGAGCAAAAGATTAAAAACTATTTACAAGAAAATTATTAGAAAGAAGAGCTACATACAAAGCAATAGCAAGAAATATTCTAATAACAGTAATAGAAGTACTATTGTTAAAGTAGCTTAAAGTAGTAAAAATAAAAACAGTCTATATAATAATAAATAAAAATAAAAACCAGTGACAAATGGTATCAGTATATTTTAAAACAAAAGAAAACTTTAGAATGGCTATAAAAAAGGAAGTATACTATTATAATACAAGATTGAAGTAAAGCATTGCAAGGTCTTATAGAAGTAGTAAAATAAAAAGAAGAAAAGAAAAAGAAGCAAAAGAGCACTATGATGTTAAAAATAGTACACAGTATATAAGATGTTCAAAAAGCAAAGAAAAACTTAGAAAGAAGAGTAACAATAAAGAAAATTAGCAGAGTAAAGATAGAATAATCAAAAGAAAGTATAAGAATAATACTCAGTTAAAAGCAATTAAGATTGAAGAGCCAAAAAGTAATTTACAAGATACTCTTGACAGAATATTAAAGAAATTAGATAAAATAGAAGAAGAACAATTAAGGAGCAGTTTTCTAAATTACTCTTAAAAGTTGTTGTAGGTGTTTTTTAGAAAGAGACAACCACTTTGTCAAATATAAAGATAGAAGACAATATTAATAAGCTAGGTTTAAATAAAGCCAAATATAACAAAGATGATAATAGTATAACAAATATTAGAATAGCATATTATAATATAAATAGAATAAAGAACAATAAGTTCAAACTAAAAACAATAGGCAAGTAGTTAAAAGAAGAAAATATTAAAATATTAAAATTAGTAAAAACAAATAGTAATAGTAAAGGCTTAAGATTTAGTTTAGAGAATATGTATTTTAAAGGTTATTAGAAAGCAGTATGGGGGTGTGGCGACCTAGTGAAGTGGTCAGATTGTCAACCTCCAAGTGGCAGGTCTAGAGTTCAAATCCCAGTATCGACAGAAAATTTGAAAATCCTCACTGTATTATGGTTAACTGTTTCTCGCAATTGATTGGGATAAGATACCTGTAACCTGTGTCACATCAGCATGACTGGCAGGTCAAATGGCATTTGTGTAATAGTCACATGACATTGTTCTTTGGGACAAGGTCTGTAGTTACACAAAGAAATGCAAACCGGTACCAGGTGGTACAAATCTACAATAAGTCCTCATGGCTGTGTAAATCATAGGAACCAATAG